AGAGTACGATCAATCAATCAATAAGCATCGATTAACAACTGGTAGAGAAACAGACAACTCAAATTCAACATGTCCAAATGTAACTATTTCCCTCCCATTTTAGGACTTTTAGGGGCTTTTTGTTGAGTTTGGGATTAGAATCTCCAAGCCAGGCTGGGTCCATGACATTTCTCTGTTTCTCCCTCTTCCCAATTCCTTCCAATCCTCCTTCTCTGGGTCTCAGTAAAATCCTAATTCCCCATCCCCCAAAGGGTTGCCTCTATCCCATAGAGCAGGGCCTGGAAGTCAGAATCCCAGGTTCTAAATTAGAAGAAATCTCAAAGACCATGTAACCTGTACCTGAACAGGAATCCCCTTAACAGCATCCTAACAGTGGTCAGCCGGCCTCCATGAAGGAATCCCCCATTAACAAGGAGCTAACTCCCACTGGAGTTGAGACAGCTCTCTTGGGTCAAACAAAACACGTCTAATCTCTGTTCCCCATGGAAGCTTTTCAGATACTTGGAAGACAGATCATGCCTCCAATTCAGTTTCCTCTTCTGCAGACTAAACAACCTTCAACTGATCCTTGTATAACATGCCAGTCTCCAGTCCTGTCACAACATCCTGTTCTCTCTCCTCTAGTTTATGGAAATCCCTTCTAAAACAGTCCAGTATTGAAGCCCCAATCTCCAGACGTGGGTTCTAACTCACAGTGTGATCCTGGACAAGTCTTTTACCTTTCTACTTTCTTTGCCTATAAAATGGGGACAGCCTCACCTGCCTACAAATCTTAGAAAAATGGACTGGGGGAAAAAAGGCTTAATTGCAACTATTAATTATAATCATTACAATTATACTTTTCCTGCAGGCTCCACCCAGAAGTATGATGCAAATGAAATCCAGGCAGGATTCCTGACTTCACCCTCCCTCTGAAAGGTCTGGAGCACAATTTGGGAAGATCAGAAGATCCTGGGTCCCTTATTTCTTTGGTTAAGAGATAAAGTAGGTGAGTAGGGAGGGGTACATATAAAGAGAAAAGAAGAGGGAACCTTTAGGCTGAGCAAAAAGCCCTGCAGAGAGATGGTTGAAGCCAATGACAATTGATCAGGTTGTACAAATTCTGTTCATCTTGCTCCTACCCCAGCTGCTAAAACAGGTGTTTCTCTGTCTAGGGCCTTGTGGGAATTTCTCCTGTGAAAGGTAATAATTCCTCAACAATCTTGGGATCACGTGGTTTAGAGACAGAAGGGAACTTACAGATGACCTAATCTAACTCTCATCTTATAGATCTGATATTAGGAGCCCAGAGAGGGGATGGGACTAGCCTGAGAGGATGGAGCTAATGAGGAGCAGAACCAGCAATGGCTCTAAATGAGGTCCATGCCCTTCCCACATGCTTGAGTCCCATCTTGCCAACCAGAAGGACTTATGTCCTCTGGGTATCTCTCCCTGCCCAGCACAGTGCGGAGCACAGAACGGGGCATACAAAGAGGTTCTGGAAAATCTTGATGAGGAATTAACAGCCTGTTATTAAGGGCAGCATCAAAGCTAGAGCTAGGTCAGAGCTAAGCCCGAATTTATAGTTTAACGGGAAACTGCATTGTCAGGAGGATAGCTATTAAAAATGATAGCTGGAGGGCTTGGAGAGAGCTGGAGACCAGGCCTCATTCTCTTTTCATCACACTCATCCAGGATAGAGATGCAGCTGCTCCCCATGGCCTAAAGCAGCAGGCGACCTTCAGCCTTTGTAGAGCTATGCATCGATGGCCCCATGGCCTCCTTTCCCAGCCAACTTATATACCCGTGCTCCTGAACTGTGCTCTTGAGTACACTCAGCTGGTGAATGGTTGCTTCTGAGGATTGTTAATAATAATAACCGATAATTTGTTGTTCAGTCGGATCAAACTCTTCATGACCCCCTTTGGGGTTTTCTTGGTAAAGAAACTGGAATGGTTTGCCATTTCCTTCTCCAGCTCATTTTACAGATGAAGAAACTGAGGCAAACAGGGTGAAGTGACTTGCCTGGGGTCACCCTGCTAGTAAGCACCTGAGGTCAGATTTGAACTCAGGAAGACTGATCTTCTTGACTCCAGGCCTGGCATTCTATCCACTATGCCACCTAGCTGCCCTTGACAATTTATATACTGACTTAAAGGTTTTGAAAGTGTTTTGTAGACATTATTTCTAAGTAACTAGTTGATGCAATGGATGAAATATTGGGCCAGGATTAAATCTAGCCTCAGACATTTATTAGCTGGGTGACCCTGGGCAAGTCACTTGACCTCTGACTGCCTTAGTTTCTCCAACTGTAAAATGTAGATAATAATAATATAATAATAATGACTCACAAGGTCATTGTGAGGATCAAATGAGATATTAGTAAAGTGCTTCTCTGACCTGAAAGCAATAGCTATTAAGTGTCAGAGATGGGATTTGAATGTAGGTCCTCCTGACTCCAAATTCAGCACACTATACACTGTCTAGAAAAGGCTTTGGAAAATTCCACACCCTTCCCAGGCATGAGCAGACAAAGCTTAAGGGTCAGAGCCCCAGCACTAGAGCCCAAGCTTGGGTCCCAAATGCCTTAGCCTAAAATCCTATGTCTCACTCTGCCTCCTTCCTGATATCCCCAAAGAAGCCCAGAATGAAAAAAGGAATTCTCTTTGGGCTGAGATCGAGAAAGGCAGATGGTCTAACCCAAAGTCCCTCATGATCAAAAGTGGGCAAGAAGCCATTTGGTTCCTGGAGCCAGGATGGGAGGGTGTGGTGCCGTGGAGTCTCTAGGGATACAAAGAGAGGCAAAAAAAAAAAATGGCCAAACAGTCCCTGCTCCCAAGGAACCAGCTGCTCCTGGTCTAATGGAGGAGACAGCATGCAAACAAACATATACAAACAAGATCAAGACAGGATAAGTTGGGGATAGTTTCAGAGTGAAGACACTAAAATTAAGGAGGACTGGGAAAGGATTCTTGGTACAGAAGATGGGATGCTAGCTGAGACTTGAAGAAAGCCAGGGAAGGCAGGAAGCAGAAATGAGGAGGGAGAGAGTTCCAGGCCTGGGGAACAGCCAGAGAAAATGTTGCCACTCTAGAGATGGAGTGTTGAGTTCAAGAAACAATCACAGAGACCAGTGTTGCTGGATGGCAGAGTCCACTGGGGAGTAAGGTGTAAGAAGACTGGAGAGTTGGGGAGGAGCCAGGTTAGGAAGAGCTTTCCAAGATGGAGGATTTTATAATTGATCCTGGAGGTAATAGGGAGCTACTGGAGTTTATTAAGTAGGGGAGTCACCTGGTCAGACCTTTGGTTGAGGAAGATCACTTGGACAGCTGAGTTTATGTCACTCCCACTTTTCCCTCTTTGATTTGTCAGCCTCACCAGCTGTTAAGCCAGGTTGAGACCTAAGTCTCTGTCAGTGAAGGGTTTGTTCACTGCTGAGGACAGCCTAGGCCCTGACCCTGGTTACAGAACAAACCTCTGTCCTACCAACTGTCTCCAAAATGCCAATGATCTCACAAGGAAGGGTTTCAGCCAGGAACTGTGGATGGTTCAATGCACTTCACTCCTCCTGCAGGAGTTCAGACCCCACACCCTATTGACAAAGAGTCTGGGGGTCTTCTTATATATAACCTGTGACTAGGGCAATGCCCCCTGGTTAACTAGGATAATAGAATCAGACTTTTGCAGCTAGGAAGGACCTTAGAGATCAAGTCCCCCAGTGCTTTCATTTTACAGATGGGGAAACTGAAGTTTTCTTTCTTCTGGGTTTTTTGCTTACTGTCAATCAAAACAGGTTAACACAGAGGAAACCCAAGGTATGGGGTGTGGAGACGGGGGAAGACACAGCTGATCCTGAGACATTGTCTCTACCCAGACAGCTTCTGAGAAACAGCCAGGCTGTGCCAGGGATGAGAGAGCCAGGGGGTCCAGCCCAGCAGGAGATGTTTTATAAGTGAATAGTAGACTTTCTGAAATAGGTCTGGTGTGGCGATGGGGCAAGCAGGATGAAGGGAAGAAGAGGAGAGCTCCATGCTTTTTATATTTTCCAGTTATAGCCTTCTCTGCCTCACCAGCCAGCCTGAAAACCTCCCTCCCCCGTTTCCCCAGCAGACCCTTCTGGGGAAAGCAGCCATTCATGGGCCCCCAGTCCCCGCCTGGCCTGCTGCGCTGATGGCCTTGAGGCTGGTATAAATAGAAGTCTGAATGCCTTAGTTACAATGGATGGCTCACCCTCACCCTCCTCCTTCCTCTCCCAGGCCCCCCTCCCTACAGCTTCTCAGCCTCTGCCTCCCCCAACTCAGCTGAGACTCTGTGTGGACAGAACTGGGGTATGGTGCCTAGGCTAGGGAACCACAGACTGATGCCCAGACTTAGCCGGGGGAGGAGGGCCGATAGTCAGCATCCTATGGGCCCCAGGTCCAGAATCCCAAAATGTCAGAATGGGAGGGGCACCAAGAACACTGCATGTCAGAGGTGGAAGTGGCCACTTCAGTTCCTCTAGTCCACCCCCTGACTTCGCAGAGGAAGAAAGTGAGACCCAGAGGAGGGCCTGGTTCAAGACTGTACAAATGGCAGAGCCAAAGTCTTTAATCCAGGCCTTCTGACTCCGAAGGCCAATGTTATTGCCAGCATCCTCCCAGGCTCCCTTCTTTTTTTATTTTATTATTATTATTATTATTATTATTTTTATTTTTATTTTTAGGCAATTGGGGTTAAGTGACTTGCCCAGGGTCACACAGCTAGTTAAGTGTCAAGTGTTTGGTCTGAGACTGGATTTGAACTCAGGTCCTCCTGACTTCAGGGCCAGTGCTGTATCCACTGCACCACTCACCTGCCTCCCCTTCTTCTCTTCCTGTTGCCCACGTCCCTCTTGTTGGGGGAGAAGGCAGCTCCTAACCTGCTTCATTCCAAGTAGTGGCCAAGTGAATGGGAGGATGCAGTGGAATGGAGTCACTAGGGAGGCAAAGAGAGGCAAAAAAGCCAAGCAAGCAAACAAAAAACAAACAAAAACCAGTCCCCACTCCCAAGGAACTCATAATTTAATGACGGAGACAACATGTGGACACATATATATACAAACAAGACAGAGACAGGATAAACAGGAGAGTGGTATCAGAGGGAGGACACTCAGATTAAGGAGGACTGGGGAAGGATTATTCCTGCAGAAGGTGGACTCCAGAACAATCTGTATTTTCAAAGAAAGGCCAAGGGAGGGCACCGCATAACTTCAAATGAATGAAACTATAATGGTGGAAATTCAGGCAGCGGTGGGAGGAGCTACTTGGGGCCAGGAAGGACTCTCAAACACCCTCTAAGGCTAGCCCTTCCCCAGGCTGGTTGGACGTATAAAAAGGTCTCCAAAGAAATGAGGTGGTGATTACAACCCAGGGACCGCCTTCTCCTTGCCATTCACGCCCCTCCTCCTATCAGAGACAAGAAGGGAGATAGGGGGCCTGTGCTTTACCCCTGCTCCTCTGTAGGTACTAGAGCTGGTGAACGACAGCTCTGTGCCTCGGTTTTCACACCATTTGAAAAGGGTCATGTCCCTGTTCTTTCCTCAGAGGGAAGGAGGGGATGGATGACCTTCCCTGTCCCTTAATAACCAGGATTATAAGCAAGGAGCTGGGCCAGGGCTCCTGAACATGGACAGCAGCCACAAAGGGCCTTGAAATGTTTTGTTTGCATTTCTCCCTGAGCACCAAGAGCAAAGGAGCCTTGAGTGGGAGAGCCAACCGTGGGCCAGGCCAGGGGCTCTTTTTGTAGGCCCTGCTCTCTCTTCACCCAGTTTCCCTGAGCTGCCCACTCTGCGTTCCCAGGCTGGGCTCCCAGATCCAGGCTGTCTCCTCCTTTTGGGGAAGTCCTTGTCCCGACTCAGACATCATCCTTCCCAACAGCTGTTGTCATGAAGAGCTCTCCGGCGTGTGGAAAGTGAGGGGAGGGGCCGAGAGCGGCCGGGGACCCCCCCTTCGCTCGTAAGCCTCCTTTGCTTCAGCATTCTTCCCTGAGCCCTCAGGTTCTGCCTCTTCCTCCTCACTCTGGTCCAGCTCATCTTCAGAGCTGGGGCAGGGAGGCAGGATAGGGCCACACTCCAGGTTCACGTAGCCACTGTGCAAGTTGACGTAATGTTCACCCCGTAGGGAGGCCGAGACACACTCCACCTCCCTCACCAGCACCCCAAAGGCTGGCCGCTCTGAGGGGACAGGATCCCAGCACTGGAGCATCACTTTATACCTGGCAGAGGAGGAAGGAGATTGGCCCACACAATTGCCATCCCTCCCAATCGAAGCCTCCTACCCCATCTTGACAAGTGCATCTTCTCCCTGAGCCCAGGCCCCAACCCAAGTAAGACTAACTAAATACCAGATCTTGATGGGGTTCTTATGCATCAACCAGTCCCACCCTCTTTCTTTTTACAAAGGGGAAAACTGAGGCTACAAGATAGGAAAAGAATCACTCAAGGTCATATTAATTTAGGGCAGAGCCGGGTTAAATTCCAAGCGTCTCATCTCCCAGGCTAATGGTCTATCTTCCCACTCTATGACATGAGGCCTCATTTTGAATCCTGATCTATCAATCAGGCTATATGACCTTGAGCAAGGATTCTTCTGGGCCTCATCTCCTCCTCTATTAAATGAGGTGACCAGGTGGTCCCTAAAGGCCCTTCTGGTTCTGATCTATAAATCTCTGACTCCAAAGAAGAGCATTAGAATCATCTAGGGGGTGTCGAGTTTAGAGCTGAAAGGGACTTTTTCTAGTCCAACCCAGGAGGAAACGGAAACCTAGAGAGACCTGGGTATTCTGACTCCCAGCCCAGTAGCATCAGCCCCATCCCCTCTTCCCTCGAGTGAACTGTGCCCCACATCCCTAGTGCCCTCCTGGTACTCACAGGGCGTCAGGACAGTACTCAGGCTGGGGTAGGCGTCGGCCCTGTGCCAGGAAATGGGTAATGTCAAAGGGGTCGATGTTGGGATATGGGGATGCCCCTCGAGTCATCAGCTCCCAAAGTAGGACCCCAAAGGACCACTGGGGATGAAGAGGACAGAGTATTAGGAGAGTCAGTGGATAGCCACTTCAACTATTGTCTGACTCTGCAGGCTGAAAAGGGTCCTCCGAGCTCCCCACGGGATCCCCTGGCTATAGATGAGGTGTTCCCCAGGCTTACGACAGGCCTTATAACCTTTAAGTGGCCCTCTACGTTTCTTTCTCTCCTCCCCCTGGATCCTCAAATTCCATCCCCCAAAACTATCCTACCGAAGCCTTTGCTTTTGCTCTTCCACCCAGACTCCTTACAGTGAAACAGTCCCTACTTGACAGAGAGGAGAAACCGAGGCCTAGGAATGATAGCATGTGGGTTCCAGAATCAATCCCTGATTATCTGCCCGTGGGAGACAAGAAGGGAGGAGGTGAGTCACCTTGAGGACTGTCTGTGGCAACTGTATAATATTCATATTCATAACAATAATGACTCATTCTAGAGCACTGCGGTGTTTGCCAAGCATCAAGTGACCAAGTATTATCACCCTGACTCTGCCACTGATTAACTGGGTGACCTTGAACGCCAATGTACTTTTCTGAGCATCAGCTACAAAATCAGGGTACCATCACCTGTACCTCCCAACCAGAGCTCATAAGGCTGCTGGAAAGAAAGCACTCTTAAGGATGCAAAGGTAGGCGACGCTCCCGTCACCATTTTTAGCTTAGCCACGATGTGGGGATAGCCAGTGCCAAAATAAAGCAAAGGATTTACAGCTGGAAAGGACCTCAGAGATCCACTAGTCATTCTATAAAAGGGACAACGAAGGCCAGAGGGTTTAGTAATTTACCCAAGATCACACTGCCAGTAATTAGCAAAGAGAAATGAGATTCGGTGGTATGGCCCCTCGGTTGAGGTAGATGGATCTGGGAGGACCACAGATGCAGAGCTGAAAGGGATCTTGGGGCCCATCTAGTCTAAACCCTTCATTTTGCAGGTGAAGAAACTGAGGAAGGAAGGGAAGGGTCACTTGCTCAAAGTCAAACACGTAGGATTGTACCAGGCTGAGAGGAGGCACAGTCCATCCCACTTCTTACCACATCTGATTTGGTAGTGAATTTGTATGTCTGCAGACTCTCCAGGGCCATCCATTTGACTGGTAGCCGGGCATGACGGTGCCTTCTGATGCTGTAGTACTCCTTGTCTAAGATGTCTCGGGCTAGGCCAAAGTCAGCCACCTTTACTGTAAATGTCTCATCCAGCCTGGGGAGATAGGGGACAGGGGCCCCTAGTGTTTTAGTATAGGGACTGGGGCTGGCCTCTCTCCCTCCCCAACTATGGCTGGCTTGGGTCAGGTTCCCTGGAATGGAACCACAGAACTGGGAGGTAACTTAGTTCAACTCCTTCATTTTACTGTTAGAAGAACTGAGGTTTAGAGAAGGGATGTGACTTGATCAAGGTCACACAGTGAATATGTGGCAGAGCCAGGGTTCAATCCTCCATATCAGCAAAACTTCTTGGAGATTTGAAGGGACCTTTGAGACCCTGTCCACTCCCACCTTGCTCCTGGTTCTACATAAGGGAGTCAGAGAGGAGATCTTCCTAAGATCTCACATCGAGTTATTGCTGGGATGGGGGCTGGTGTCCCTGGAATCCAGCCACTTTTCCTTGGCACCATATTAAGACTCCCTGGCTCAAGTCCTGCCCCTCGGTTCTCTCTGCCTTGGCTTGGTTGCCCCCTTGTCTCTCCTGGTAATTCCCCAACCTGGCTCCTCACATGCAATTCCGAGCTGCGAGATCCCTATGAACAAATTTCTTCTCAGCCAGGTAGGCCATGCCTCGGGCCACCTGCAACCCGAAGCCAATGAGATCCTTCACTGTGGGGTTCTGAAAAGACATCACAGCAGTCACTGGGTAGAAAGGTGTAGTATTAGGGCCAGGTTCTCCTAGGATGCTCAGAGACTTTGCCTTTTGCTTTGCCTCTTAGAGATGGCCTGGGCAGCAGGATGACTGTATGGTGAAGTTTAGGGAGAAACAGACCCTCAAAGGGCTGTGCATGGAGAGGTTGAGTGGGGGAAGACCCCAAGGCCTATAGCATGTGTTGGAGACCTTGGGCAAGTAGGGGAAGCTGTTGGTTAGAGTTGAGGTCCTACATCAGGTCAGAAAGGAGCCCTAGGGCAGAGCTGTAGGCTTTTCCCTAGGGCCTTGGAAGAAGAGAACCTGGGCTCTGGCCAGGGAGCCATGGCCCTCTTGGCCTCAGGTGGATGGAGGCTGAGGCCTATAACCTCAGGGGTCACAGCGTCTAGGACTGACTGGGAGGAGCCGCAACAATCATTTCAGAAGGAAGGCTGGTGGTGGTCTGGAGGTCACTCACCCTTTTGGGGGAACGGATGAAGTGTCGCAGGTCCCCGTGTTTCATGTAGGGCAGCACCACTCGGGGGAGGCCCTCAGGGGGCAGCAGGATGCCAATAAGGGACAGGACGTGCTGGTGACAGAAGCTGCGCATAAGCAGGCCCTCCCTCAGGAACTCTTCCACCTCCTCCATCTCTGTGATACCTGCAGAACACTCAAGCTCTCAATCCAGCTGAGGCCCTGCTCAGGGAGGCTCTCCACCAAGGGAGGTCAGAGAGGACCAGCCCCCCTCCCCCAAAACAAGCATTCACCTAAACGTCTGCTCTGCTCCCTCAAAGACGGAAAGGATTGGAGTGTCACAGACTCTGGAGATGGGGTATTATGCCCATTTTACAGAGGGGGAAACTAAGGCCCCCGAGAGAGGTAGAGACTTGCCCAAGGTGACCCAGGCCGGGTGACTCCAAGTCCAGGGCTTCTTCCCCTGCACAGCAAGAGGAGAAGATGTGGTCCCTTCTTCCTCCCCTAATAATCTTCCCCGCCCCCTCCATTCCTCTCTCCACTGGGTATCAAGTAAAGACCTGACTGCAAAGTCAAAGGGATTCCAGACGGGCTGACCCAAGCACCACCCAACTGGACACACACACACACACACACACACACACCCTGAGCATACTCACGATTCAGTGATTTGATGGCACAATGGATCCGATTCTGGGAAGAGTCCACATATTCCCCATGGTAGACAATTCCAAAGTGGCCTGGGCATGGAGAACAGAGGGGATCCTAGTGAGGTTGGGAGAGGCCAAGGGCAGGAGAAAAGCTTCTCAAGGTACCAGAAAGGACCTGGCTTTAGCCCCTTCCCATTCCCCTGGGCTCTGAGGCCCAACCCTATCCCCCTGCCCTAAGTCCTCATGCCACCCCCCCCCCGCAAAGAGTCCAACATTTCCATTCCCCCAACCTTGAGCCCTTGGCCTGGCCTCCACCTACAAGATGGCCTTCCCAGCTGTTGACTTAGTCACCATCCCATCCCATTCCATTCCCTTCCCCTGGCTCAAACCCCTACCCTGACCAGACCACAAGACATCCTTGTCAGCTCACACCTTTGCCAATGATTTGGTCCTCATGTGTAAGGATCCGCTCTGGGGGAATGAGGACATCTTTCACCTCAGTCAGGAGGTCTGAACTCAGTTCCCCCACACAGATGGACTTCACCCTAAGGAGGGGAATCCCAGAAGTACTGCTGTTGCCTGTGGATGATGTAACCTGAAGATGGCCAGGTTCTCCTGTGGGGCTGAGGGCTGCAGAGAAGTGAAGAGGAAGGGAAATAATAAGGGGCTGAGGGAGCAGGCCCCCTGCCACCCCACTCCTTGTTATTACTTACCAATGCCGTTCCTGTAATCAGAGCCTGATCGGAGCAGGGGCAGGGAGACAGCTTGATGATTCCTGTCCAGAGACCCTGGTGGGTCCATGTAAAGAGAGATTTCTGTGAGAGCAACAACCCCTCTCAGAGCTATACTAACAACAGTGCACCACTACCCCCAACCAGTGGTGCAGGGCTTTCCACCCCAGAGGGGCGTGCTGGGAGGCAAAAGACTTAGATTTTAGTCCAGGCTACATTACAAACTCCATGTACAGCCTTAATTAAGCCATATCTCTCTGGGCATCAGTCTACCCATTTGTAAAAAAAGAAATAACCCACCTTCCCTGCCAGTGAGGGAAAGGGGCAGTCTTTTAAAGATGAACTGAGGGTTGCATCGATTAAGGCATTTCCCCCCAACATATAAGCACAAAATGATAATGAGGCCTGTTCTTTTTTTTTTTTCTCTTTCTCTAAGAGGGGAAAAGGAAGGAGCTACTTAGTTGTCAATCAGGAACATATGAGTCAAATCCCAAGAACTCATTAGCAACCGGGAGACAGTGTGACAGTGGTGAAGAAAGTAGGAGATTTGGAGCCAAGGGACTGGGGTTCAAACCCTAGCTGTGCTAATTAGCACCTGTACCTCTTTGGGCCTCGGTTTCTTCTTCTGTAAGAAAAAGTTGAACTTAGACGACCTCTTATGTCCCTTCCATATTTAGATCCCTTTATTGACTAAGAGGGAGCCCTAGGCAACTGGAGGTTGGGATGTATCATCTTCAAAGGGCCCCAGCCATTCTCTGGGGAGATTTTCTAGACCAGCAAACTACCTAAGTCTCCTTTTTATGGGGTGGTTCTTTACTACTCTGCTATTTTGTGTTTTCCTGGGACACTAAAAAGATTTCATAGCAGGAATCTAATCCCTTGCCAGTAAACCCAGGCCTTATGTTATTGTGTGTTCTTCTCCTGGCTCTTCTGAGCTGAGGCCACGACTAGACGATAGGGTTCTCTCTCTGTCAGTTGGTCATCCGATCGAGTGACTCACTAGACATTCGTCTCTCTACCTTTCCTATCCTCAGAGACTCCAAAGCACAGATCCCAGCAGTTGGCTCTCCCCTGTACTTCCAGGTGTATGGAATAAAGGTTTTGGCATCTTTCCTGGTGGCATTGTAGACATGCTTTAGAAAAGCCACACACTGAGTCCACTGATGCCTCAGTGGCCATAGCAGATTCAGCAGGGCACAATTAAAATGCTCAGGTTGAAGAACCCCTGGGAGATGGATGCCATAACATAATGCTAGATTTCTTCATTTCTTCCAGGCTAAGCATATCTTTGAGCAACATAATCTCAGAATCTCAATCTTGGTAGAAATACATGTTGGCAGAGAAGGCATATACTGAGATAGACTTCCCCCATCCTACTTTGGCAACTATGGAAATCATAGTGGCTGCTGGTTGGGCAGCTATGCCTGCATCCAACAGGGGGATCAGCCTGTCACTCTTAGGACACAGCTACCATTGAAATGAACTGTGCTGAATGTTATTTTGGGCCCCTTCCAGAGATGAAAAACCAATCTTGGCTTCACAAGCCTATGCTTGCTTATATTCCCCAGGTAAACAGCTCACATCCCTAGTTGTACTTTCCTTTGAACGCTCCAGGTACACAGATTTCATACTTCCTGTGCATTTCTGTTCCCTTTTGGAGCCCACAGAACCATTTTGTGCCAGATTCAGAGATCCTCTTGGCTTGGGGTGCCCATAATCACCCAGGGGGACTTTCATAGCCATGGACTGGCAGGCTTAGATAGGGCTAATTGCCTTCTCACATAGTATCACAGGATCTTAGCTAGAAGGGGTCTCAGAGGTCAACCGGCCCAGCTCCTTCATTGAAGCCAAGGGAGGTGAAATGATTTGCCCAATGTCACACATCCTATGTAGGATTGCTTATCTTCTGATATATAACCTCATGGTAGAGTTCCAACAGCTACCACTTCTACAACGGGTGTATACCTTCGCAGGTGTTAGCTCTGATCACTGGCGGTCACCATTACTCAAAAACCCATTCTCTTTTAGCTGGGTTTACCGGCTGTCATTCATTTCATATCGAGCTAGAAGGCCTGGCCCAAAGCTATAAACTTTGCTTCCACCAACTGTACACTCTCCAGAGGAAGTCTCTGGTTCTTTGCCCTGCTTCTGTCTGTTAGGGGTCCTGTTTCCTCTTGTCACAGACCAACATCAGCAGCCCCCACCATCCAGATAATTGTCATTTCTGATCCATGAGGATTCATGGGATGGGGCATCTACATTCACATTGGTTCTTCCTGTCAAATAATGCACACCAAACTCAGAAATGGCTGGGGCCACAGCTGGTGGCATCCAAATGAGCACTTGTCAGAATATAGGTCAACAAGTTGTTTTCTGTTCTTATCTGAAATTAGCTCTGTACAAATAGTCCCAAAACATTTTAGAGACAGTCCTCTTCAAAGCCAATCACACCAATTTATGCATGGGAAAACAGCTCTCCCTGTCCATTGGCAAATGCAATTGGCTTCCAGTGATCATTGATCTTCTGGTACAAAACTGCTTCCCAGGTTATCCAGGCAGGAATTAGTGTGTGACGTAAGAGTCCTGCAGGGTGCATAAGGCAAGTTATCAAGTCCATGTCACTTTTCTCATCCCAGCAATTGCCAAAATGTGCCAGGCAGTCTGGGCTAGGTCTTCTTCCCCTCCTTCTCCCCTTCTGGTTATTTGGCAATGATCAAATTTTCTATACCACCAGCTTAGGGAGGGATATGGACTATGGGGCCTCAGGATGATACCATTCTTCTGAGTGGTTCCTGAGTGTCCTTCATCTCTGAGAAAGAGATTTTCTAGAATTGTTCTCAAAAAGGAGGTGGGTGGTGAGCAGGGTCCCCTGTGCACATGCTGCATCTCATTCATACAATGAAAACACTTCATGCTGGGTTTCTTCCTTAGATAACCCTTCTACTCTCCCGACATTGGAAAGTCTCTGACATTGAACTTCTCCAGACCTGCTACCAAAGATGTTGGGGCTCAGAACACACTCTAGGGTCACCACTTGCTCCAGTCCTTGGTGTTTTTTGCCAAAAGTATCCCCTTGGTGTTTTTTGCCAAAAGTATCTTGTATCATCCTAAAAAGTTCTACACAGGAGGCACAAATGATGGAGATTTCCAGATATTGCACCCTAGCTATCTAACTGTAGTTATGCACTAGGACAGGTATTCATTCACATATCCAGTGTTAATCCCTCCTTATGCATATGCCCCAGGATTGCCCTGGGAACAGTGGGGAGGGATTTACTTGCTACATCTCATGTATCAAAGTTCTCTATGTATCTGTTTTTCTTGTCCCCTATCTAGACCGTAAACTCCATGAGGAAATAAACCATATCTTACCTAAATGTATATCTCCTCCAACTTGTCAATCAACAAGTATTTATTAAACACTTATTATGTGCCAGGCATTGTGCTAAGCACTGGGGGATTCCAAGAAAAAGCCAAAAGCAGTCCCTGTCCTCAACGAGCTTACATTCTAATGGCAGAGACAATGTGTACATAAAAAGTCACATACAACACATCCACAAAGTAGGTAGCAGACACTAGCAGGTGGGGACAGTGAGGTGTGGGGAAAGGCTACCTGCATAAGGTTGGCATTTGGGCTGAATCTTGAAGGAAGCCAGGGATTCTAAGGGTTAGAAGTGAGGAGGGAAAACATTCCCGGCATGAGGCTCAAGCAATGCAAAGGTGCAGAAATAAGAGGGTCATGAGAGGAAAAGCAAGTAAGTCAGTATGGATGGACCTTTGCATGAGTTAGTAGAGGTGTGAGAAAACTGGAAAGGAAAGAAGGGGCCAGGTGGTAAAGGTCTCTGAATGCCAAACAAAGGAGCTTATTATGTTTTATGCTAGTGGTAATAGGGAGCCATTGGAATTTATTGAGTGGCAGGGTGGGGGACTAGGGGGGTGGGGGGAGGGTGACATAGTCAGACCTGCATTTTAAGAAGAGCACTTTGGCAGCTGTGTGGAGGATGGATTCGAGTGGGGAGAAATTCATTCTGCACTCAGTAGATACTTAATAATTTTTTGATTGATTGATAATAGACATGCAAGTTTTCTGAGTCATCATGCACAGCATAATGGGTGCTATCATGAATTATAATTTTCCATTGTTAGATTCTGGTCCCAAGGGCATAGACTTAGAATAACAGGACCCCAGAGCTGGCTGAGATCTTAGAATGCAGAACACAGATTGTCAAACCTGGGAGGGACCTTAAAACCCAGAACATAAAATGTCTAACGTGAGAGGGGCCTCAGAACCCAGAACACAGAATGTCAGACCTGGGAGGGGACTTGACAACATAGAACAAAATAAAATGTCGGAGCTGAGAGAGAATTTGGAGATCATACAGTTCAACCTTCTCATTTTAGAGATGAGGCAACAAAGTCCCAGATAGGGGAGGCGACTTGTCCAAATTTACCTGGAGTCAGTGGCAGAGACAAGAGTAAAATGCAATTTTTCTGACTCCCAAATCTGGGGCTTTCATGAACTTTTAGATCTAGGCTGGGGGGAGAGGGAGATGGGGAGTGTAACAGGGTGAGACTAGAGATCTCTTCCTTCAGACTCAGTCTAAGAGCTGAAAGGGACCTCACCTCCGAGGGCGACCTGAACCCAAGCAGGAATCTCTTTAATAATGTGCCCAACAAATGCTTGGAGACCTCCACTCACCACCTCCTGAGACAGCTTATTCCTCTCTGGGAGGGAACAAGCATTATTAACTGCTTACTAAGTACCTACAAGCATTGTTAAGTGCCTACTATGTGCCAGGCACTGTACTAAGCATTTTTCACAAATGTGATCTCATTTGATCCTCACGACAGCCCTGCAAGGTAGGTGCTATTATTATCCCCATTTTACAGATGAGGAAGCTGAGGCAAACAGAAGTTAAGTGACTTGCCCAGCTAGTGAATGTCTGAGGCCACATTTGAAGTCAGGGCTTCCTGACTCCAGGACCAACACTCTATCTACTGCTCCACCACCTCGCTGCCTCTAACTATTGGGATGTTTTTACTCACAGAGGCAAAATCTACCTTTTCCATTCCTATCCTTCTGTCTAAATTCTGTCCTTTGCCACCCATGTCAGAACCACAAAAGTATAGGGGCCAGACAGTTAAAACCATCATTCCATCGGGCCCATGAGCACCAGTAGGGATGATGCCACCCAAAACCTGTTCAGTCTCCCAGATTGGTGGGGGTTGGGGGGTGAACAAAGGTAAGGGTGAGGCAAAGATGAGGTAGACAGAGAGACTCACCCTGCCTCTTAATCTTCTTCTTCCACAACCTGAAAAGCACCAAGGATAGGAAGCACACCACCAGCGTGATGACGACGATTAAGAACACAACGATGAAGACTTGTGGGAACTGGGAGCGTTGTATCACGTCCCCAACGTGCCAACATTGCCCATTAATGCAGACCTAGGAACCGACCAGACCCAGCTCAGACCACCTGGGCTGGGAACCGAGCCTTGGCTTAGCCCCTGAAATACTTCCCACTTCCCAGTGGTCTCCCCTTCACAAAGACCCTCCTTTGGGCCACCTTTACCATCCAACCATTGCTAGCCCACTGGTAACTTGGACTGTAGCCCTGGTTTCCCTGGATTTTCCCTGGATTTCAACTTATGTTATTATGGGGGGGGAAGAATTTAAGCCTCCATGCCACTCCCCCAGTGTGCCTTCCCCATGTCCTGATGACGCTGCCCAAGACTTGCCGTGATCCCATTGTTGGGGCTACTGAGCAAAATCATTCCCTCCCAGGTTGTAGAAGATCCGAGATGGTAGAGGTGAGTCCAGGGTTTAGGAGCCCAGTATTCAAGAGCTTAGGCCTCAATTGTTCTCTCCATACTCCTAGAAAATAGCTCTCCAGTTCTACCCTTGGACTGGGAATCCGAGGTTCAGAGAGACAAAGAGTGGCTGAGACCCCAGAGTCCCAATCCTTCAGCCTAGGTGCCCAGAAAGCTCCCTACCTTCAGGGGAACTCCATGATGGGGGATGTGCAGGGTAGGAGGAATATAGCAGATCACAGGGATATTCTTCAGGTTGGTCCGACAACTCTGGCCACCCACAGTCATGTTCACATCCATGCAGGAGGCCACAGCGCTCAGTCCAAAAAACTGCAGGGAATCCCATCCCCTTGTGAGCATGAGAATATGTGTTTTCTACCCTACTTCTCCAACCAAGCCCCTTTTCTCCACAACCATTTGGCTCTACCCAAAGCCACCTCTGGTTCCTTCTTCCTTCTCTGCTTCCCATTGGCTTTCCATTCCCAGTAGGCCAGGGCTCTCCCTGAGAGCCTCCCAGATTGATTTTTTTTTTGGTAAAAGAACCCATTCTTTGCCTCATTTTTTTACCTAGCCTTAATCACCGAATAGGTGTTGCCTCAGACATACTGAGACCTGGGAAAGAGCTTAACTTAAAAAGGCCAAGGCCTCCCACTGCATCTGGGGCCGTCTCCAGTCATCCTGATTTATATCATGGCTCCGGAGGAGAGAGTAAGGCTGGTGACTTTGCACAGCCTTGCCTCACTTAAATGCAATACACTTGCAAGTCACGACCTCTCCTTCCTGATGTCATAGTCCTCGTAGAGAAAGAAGGACAAATAACAACAACAAGACAACAAAGACTCAAGGGTCCAGGAACTTAAGCCTCATCTGCTTCGATTCTCCAGCCCTCATACCAACCTTTACTTCCACAGTGCCCTGCTCAATCTTCAGAGGACCTGGCAGAGAATGGAGTAGGGGCTTGGGGTAGAATGGGAAGTTGGGGCTGATGTAGAGGATGGAGCCATCCCCACCGATGCTCAGATTGCCCTGTACCTGCCCCGGGCCTGGCAGATTAGTATAGTCAGGAGCCAGGCACACACGTTCAGTGGAGAGAGTCGTACTGTTGCATTCCTGAGGACCAAGGATAGAGAGGCTTGTGGGCTGGTCAAAAACCTAGCTCTTGACCCAATATATAAGGGAGGTCTTAGCCCCTGGAAAGGTAGAGAGGCACCCACCCTCCACTTGACCATCTTTGGGGAATAGCCTTGGCAACATTTCTCATTACCTAGGATGGCGATTGAAGGCCAGCATGGTTTACACATGTTAAAGTGGAAAGGAAGGAAAGGAAAAGATCTCAGAGGAAAGTACTAGTGGCCTGCTCACCAGGTTCTCCATTTCTGTGTGCCCATCTGTGAAGGTGGTAGTCATCCGCCAGATGGCATCCAGATTCTGGCCCCGGATAGTAATACGGGAGCCACTAGGGAAGGTCAGAGAAGGAGACTTTATTTTCTACCCTCCCATCTCCCATATGAATACTCTGAAAACCAGGAAGGAGAGGTGGAATCAATTGTACCTATGAATGCCCAAGTCAAGGGGAGAACTAGGGCCTACCCAAAGGATTGTGGGGTCCTGGGAAGACATAACCCATAGGGAAGCATGAGCCTAGACTCAGGAGTCATTGATCAGCTCTCAGTATCCTTTCAGGGACTGGGAGCCCAGATTCTCATTTAAGGGAGGAGAGGGGAGAGAAGAGAAGAGGGAGAGTAGATAAAGTGAAAAATGGGGACTCACGGATAGCTGCAATTAGGGGAGATGCTGAAGATTTGGGGATTGTTCCGATACTGGAAGAGCCAAGGGGTAGGGATCTGAGCATCCCCAATGTACAAGCTGATGGAGACGTTGGCCTGGTCCCCTCCTGGGGGCGTGCTACACTGAAGCTTCTCTTCATCCATTCTGGGAGGAGATGAGAGGAAGGAAAAGATTGAAGAGCTGGGAGAGGGGGAGTTTCAGTTGGGCTGCCTGTCCTGTCCTGATCCAGCTCCTTCTTCCCTCCTCCTTCTCTCTGAGAACCTTTTCCTGCTCCGGGCTGGATCCCTCTTAAAGTTTCTACTCAGCCATCATCACCACCTCCTCTGTGTCTTGTCTGACTCTCCCACTTGTCTAACAGGGTTAAAGAACCACAGCATTCTTGAGCTGCAAAGGGCCTGAGTGAATTTAGTCTGATGCACAACTGAACAGGAGCCTCTACAACAGCATTTATATAGCATTTTAAAGTTTGCAAAACACTTTACTTCTCATTTGATCCTTACAACAACACTCTGAAATTTATGCTATTATTGTCCATGCTTTAAAGATGAGGAAACAGGATGAGAACTATTAAAAGTCACTTGCCCAGGGCCACATGGCTAGTGAGAGTCTGAAGCAGTATTCGAACTCAAGCCTTCCTAATTTCAAGTGCAGTGCTCTATCCATTACACCACTTAGTATTCTTCCCAACCACTCTGCAGTATTTGGTACAGAGGACCACCATCTATCTTCTCCTGGACACTCTTTCCTCTCAAGGTTTCCTTTGGTCTCCTGGTTCTCTTCCCACCTGTCTAACTGTTTCTTCTCAGCCTCCTTTGCTGGTCCATTGTTTGTATGCCTTCTCCTAACTGTGGCAGATATCCTGAGGCTTTGTCCTAGGTCCTCTTCTCTTCCCTTTCTACATTTTCTCTTGGTGCCATATCGACGCAGATGATTTCCAGGTCTATATATCCAGCCCTAGTCTTTCTCCTGAGCTCCAGGGTTGCAGCAACTACCCATTCAACACTTTAAACCAGATGTCCCGTAGACACTTCCAACTCAATATTTCTAAGACAGAACTCACCATTTTCTCCCCGAAATTCACCCCTCTTCTGAACTTCCCTATTTCTGTCCAGGGTCTCACCACCTAGTCCCTCATGTTATTGTCACCCTCAGCTCTTTACTCTCCCTCATCCCACAAATTAAATCAAATTTTGTCCTCCAAAACATCTCTCTCATCCAGCTAGCTGTTGGACAGGATAGAGCACTAGACTTCCAAGCTGGGTGGCCCCAGGGTAAATCACTTAACCTCTGTTTGTCTCAATTTCCTCATCTGTAAAATGGGGATAATACTAGAACCTATCTCCCCGGGTTGTTGTGAGAAACCAATGAGATCATAATCGTAAAGTACCTAGCATAGTACCTTGCACGTAGTAAGTATTATATAAATGTTAGCTATTATTATCATGATTCCTTTTGTTTTCCAGAGCCACAACCCCAGTCCAGACCTTCACTGCCTCTGAATTGGTCTCCTAGCCTCCAGGCTCTTAACTCTCTAATCCACCCAGCTTCCGAATGATATTGCTAAAACATAGATCTGACTAAGTCACTTCCTTGCCCAAGAAACTCCAGTGGCTCCCTAGTACCTCTAGAATCAAACGCAAGCTGCTCCGTAGGGCATTTTGAAGCGCTCCACAACCTGGTTCCAAACTATCTTTCCAGCCTTATTACATTATTACTTCCCTTCATACACTCTAAGTGCAGTCCAATTGGCTTTCTTGCTTTTTCTCAAATATACTATTTGATCTCCTGTTTCTTTGCCTTTTCATAGGCTGTTGCTCAGGCCTGGAATTTACTCTCTCCTACCCTCTGATTCTTAGATTCTATTCAAAGCTCAATGTAAATGCCACTAGTTTTGTATATAAACTTGTAAATGCATGTGTGTGTACACATTATCTCCCTACAGTCTTCAGATAGAATGCAAGCTCCTTAGGGCAAACGAATGATTCATTTTTGTCTTTGTATTCCCAGGGCTTAAGCACAATAACTGGCACACAGGAGGAGCTTAATAAATGCTCATTGATTGACTGCTTGCCCCAAAGAAAAAGAATACATTAATAGCAACAAGTACCCTCCAACCATTCCCAGTCACCACCATTCAGTGCCAATGCAGTACTCACTTTTTAAGGCGGCACTCAGTACCGTTAATCAACACCCGATGACTGGACCCCACATTCAGGTTTTGCCCTCTGATGGTGAGCTCAGTACCACCAGCCCAAGGGCCAAACAAGGGCAAAATGGATGTCACCACTGGCTCCTACTCAGGGACAAAGGAGAAAAGCCCAGACAACACCTTATCAGCAACTCAACACCCAATACTTGGGGTCAGTCTCCCAGCACATCCCTGTCACCTTCCCATTTTCACCCACAACAGTAACAAAACTGACTTACCACAAAGGAGAAGCCGCTCAGGACAGAAGACCCATTTAGTTGAAACTGAAATTTGGAAGCTATCCCAGGGACGGTCAGGGTGACTTTGGCAGGACCAGGAGCCTGGGAACTTGAGGCCTCCAGCAAACACTCTAGCTGTTCCACGTAGTCCTTCTTGGAGCTTGGGAGGTCCAGGGGAAACATCAGGGCAGGTAAAACCCTCCCTCTCCCCAACTTCAAACTCTCTCAACCTGCATCTTACCCACCTGCGACACTCTCTAGCCAACAAGTCAGCAAGCATTTATTATGTCCCTACTATGTTCTAGGCACTTTGCAGAAAAACTAAGAATAAAATTAAGAAAACTAAGAATACAAAGAAAGGCAAAAAATCCCTGCTTTCAAGGAGCTCACAGTCTAATGGGAGATACAGCATGTCAATAACTATGTATAAACAAGACATGTGCAGGATAAATTGCAGATAATCAACAGAGGAAAGCAACTAATGTTAAAGAAGATCAGGAAAGGCTTCTTGCAGAAGGTGAGACTGTGAGTAGGATCTGAAAGAAGATAGGAACCAGAAATGCGGAGGGAGAGCATTCCAGGCATGAGAGAAAGCCAGTAAAAATGCACAGAGTTGTGTGAGAAAGGATCAGGAGTTAGGCTTCCACAACAGAACAAGGAGATTCTGAGAAGGCCTTCCAAGATCCTATGGATAGCCCCTCAACCAATCAGAAAGTGCCCCAAACATTCTGCAAACAACTAGTTCCTTAAGAAAGAGTCCTGAAGGCTAAACCGGTTGGGTCAAAGGCAGGGCAAAGGCTTTTCTTCACTTCAGCTTGCTTGATAAGCTTATTGAAAATTAACTGACACACCCTGGGCGGAGATAGCCACCATTTTTGAACATTGGACCCGTGAACTAACATGAGGAGGAGGAACATGGAGGAACATGACATGAGTGGTTCAGGAAGAGTGTAACTCAGATGAGTTGGACCAATCCTAGCCCTGGTGGGTAGAGTATGGATCTTACCAACCATTTAAAAGTTGATTCTACCACTGTACCAGTGCAAACGTGCTATTGGAGTGGTGTGCCTGCTTCTTGCGAGAAGCGTAATGAAGGCTTTCCTTCACTCATTCCTGTAAGTAGATTTTTGTTTCAGATTTTTCTAACAGTTGAGAGATAGATTCAGTTCCTAGCCTGGCATTCAAGGTTCTCCAAAATCTGGATTCGCTCTACCTTTTTAGCCTTGTCTCCAAATTCTACTTATCGTATCACCTCCTATCCCAATCTGCCTGAACTATTTACTATTTCCCAAATATACTTTAGCTTTTGCTCATGCCTGGAATATCCAACCCTCTGCCCTATCAAATGACATAATTAGTGTAAAGCACTTAGCACAATGCCTGACACATGCAGGCACTTGATAAATCCTTGGGCAGCTAGGTGGTGAAGTGGATAGAGTGCTGGGCCTGAAGTCAGGAAGACTCATCTTCCTGAGTTCAAATCTGACCTCAGACACTAGCTCTATGACCTTGGGCAAGTCACTTAACCCTGTTTGCCTCAGTTTCCTCATCTGTAGAAATGAGTTAGAGAAAGAAATAGCAAGCCACTCTAGTATCTTTGCCAAGAAAACCCAAATGGGGTCACGAAGAGTTGGACATGACTAGAAAAATAAACACTTAGTTCCCCCTTTCTCTAGACCTATTTCTGCTTATGGAAATAATATCTATCCTCAAGACCCAGCTCAAATGCCACCTCCCTCGGGGGGGATTTCCCTTCTCCACCCCTGTCCCTTCCGCTCTTGCTAGCTCTAACACTATACTCCTATCTCTCTTATGGACCTAATCATAGTGCTTCATATGGCACTTTTATGTGTCTATTTAACTGTGACTCCCAGAAGTCAAAGACTGGGTTTTAATCAATTCGATGAATTTTTATTAGATGCCTACTAAGTGTAAGTGTGCTAGGAATACAAAGAAGAGTGCTTACTGCAAATCAAAACAACTCTGAGGTACCACATCACACCTGTCAGATTGGCCAACATGACAAAACAGGAAAAAGATAAATGTTGGAGAAGATGTGGGAAAATTGGAACACTAATGCATTGTTGGTGGAGTTGTGAAATGATCCAACCATTTTGGAGAACAATTTGGAACTATGCCCAAAGGGCTACAAAAATGTGCATACCCTTTGATTCAGCAATAGCACTTCTAGGACTATAACCCAAAGAGATCAAACAAATGGGAAAAGGACCCACTTGTACAAAAATATTCATAGCAGCTCTTTTTGTGGTGGCAAAGAATTGGAAATTGAGAGGATGCCCATCAGTTGGGGAATGGCTGAGCAAGTTGTGGTATATGAATGTAATGGAATACTACTGTGCTATAAGAAATGATGAACAGGCTGACTTCAGAAAAACCTGGAAAGACTTGTATGGCCTGATGCTGAGTGAAGTGAGCAGAATCAAGAGGACTTTGTACACAAAACAGCCACGTTGTGCAATGACTAATATTGATAAACTTAACCTTCTCAGCATTACGAGGATCTAAGACATCTCCAGAGGCCTCGGGATGGAAAATGCTGTCCACATCCAAAGAAAGAACTATGGAAGTCAAATTGCTATCACTTATTTTTACCTTCTGTTGAGTTTTGTTTCATCTTTCTGATGTTTCCTCCTACTGGTTTTAATTTTTATTTACTACTTCACTAATGTGAAAATATGTTTCATGGGTATGTAAATGTAAAGCCTGTATCAGATTGTGCGCCATCTTGGGGAGGGTGGGGCGGAGGAAAGGGGAGAAAAATTTTCAACTCAAAAGCATATGGAAGTGATTGTTGATAAATCAGAATAAATTAATAAAATTTAAAAAAAAAAGAGTGCTTACCCTCAAGGACAAGACAAATATGCAGAGAACTACAACACAATTTAAAACATGTGTGCACATGAGGTAATATAGAAAAGGAGGAAAGATTAGGGACAGATTGATCACTTCCGGCTGGGGGAGAGGGTGAATCAGGGAAGGGTACATGTCAGGGGTGACTTGAGCTAGGCCTTTAAGAAAGAGACTGGAATAAGGAGTGTTCCAGGCATGGAACAACAGCCCTTGCAAAGCAGGGGAAGAAAATACCCCAAGACTGGGCAACAGCCAGTAGTCCAATCTGTCTGTACCACAGAGTGAAATCACATTGCAAAAGGTAGGCTAGGGGCAGCTAAGTGGTACAGTAGATAGAGCACCAGCCCTGGAGTCAGGAGGACCTGAGTTCAAATCCAGCCTCAGACACATGATACTTATTAGCTGTGTAACCCTAGGCAAGTTACTTAACCCCAATTGCCTCACCAAAAAAAAAAATTAAAAATTAAAAAAAAAAAAGGTAAGTGGGAGCCATATTATAGAGGCCCGTTGACGCCAAGGTAAGGAGTCTGTATTATATCCTGCAGGCAATGTGGAGTTTGTCCTTCATTCTCAAAGAGGACCACGACATCAGGGAGATGACGATAGGGAGCTATTGAAAGAGAGTCTACTGAAGTGCAAAGCGACATGCTCAGACTTCAGCATACAAAGATGGTGATTTTGGAGAGAATACAGGAAGGGAGACCCCATAGGGGATTGTTACAGTAGTCCATGGGCCAGATAAGGAAAGCCTCAACCAAGGCAGAGCTGGTAAAAGGAGGATGAATGGGAGAGATGTTATGGAGAAACAGGACTTGTCAGCTGATTGGATGTGGATGGGGTCGGGGTTGGGGGGGTAGGGGAGAGAGGAGTCCAAGATGGCTCTGAAGCCTTGGACAATTGGATGGATAGGGGCGCCAGGAACAGAAACAGGAAAGCTGAGATGAGGTATAGGTTTAAGTGGAAGGAAAAAAACTACTAATTCAGCCTTATTTACCTCTGTTTCCCCCCACAACACCCACAGCACATGGCCCTGAACATAGCAGGCACTCAGTAAATGCTTGCTGAATTCTGAATTGTTATTACATATCATCCCTCACACTGATGTAGCTTCCAGAACACCCTCCCATCCCTCCTTAGGTCCTCGTGAACAACTGAGGGAGAGGGAGGACTGGGATTGTTATTCTCATTTTACAGATGGGGAAACTGAGGCCTAGAGAAGCTATGTGATGTACCAAAGTTCAAACAAGAGACTGTATTGGGACAAGAACCTGAGTCCCCTGGCTCCCACCTGGGTGATGTGACAGGTGGGAGGGGGCAGAAGGAAAGAATAGGGTGAGGTGCCTACAGGGGCAAAGGAAATCAGGTCCCTAGCAGGCCAGGAGTGAAGGGTCACGTAAACATACCTCAGGTGGGAGGTAGCCATGGGCAGCACCTTGCAGAGGCTCTGGCCCACAGTGACTTTCTGGGGAGCCTCTGAGTCCACATCCTGGAAATGGCTGTAGAAGTTAGTGCCACATAACGTCAGTTTCGTGCTGCCCCTTGTGGGTCCAGATTTGGGGTGGAACTGTAACAGACATAGACCAAGCATGTGTGTGTGTGTGTGTGTGTGTGTGTGTGTGTGTGTGTGTGTGTGTGTGTTGGAAGGAACAACTCTCCCTTCACCCCAAGGTTTCCAGATCCTAATGAAGTGGGGGGAAAGTGTTCATCTTAAGGACTTGAAGACCTGCCAGGAAAACCGATCAGTCTCATTTCATCACTCTCTGGCTGCCCCAGCCTATAGTTTTCTCTTCCTCTTCCGCCTCATACAGCCCATAGAGCATCAGGTTTTAACCTGGGGTTTATGAACTTTTAAAATGTTTTATTTTATTATTATTTTATTAATTTTCCATATGTTAATTGTGTTAATTAATTCCATAAATTGACAAAATTTATAAATATTATTAATATTTCCATAAATACTTCAATATAATGGGTTTTCTTAGTAAGCTGTGTATTTTATTTTATACCTTTTAAAAGTCCATAGACTTCACCAGACACTGCCCATGGGGTCCACAACACACAAAAAGGTTAGGACCCTTACATTAAAGCCTCCCTTGTATGGTTATCCTTTGGTTTCCTATGCATAGTAGGTCTCCCCAGCCAAACTGTGAGATCCCCGTGGGCATGGCCTGGGACAGTTCCTCCACCTCTAGTCTAAAACTGAGTTCCCTAGATGTATTGGAGAACTGGGGGCAGATTTTGGTCAGGGCTGAGTGACTTGATTTTAATATTTCTTCCTGAGTTGGTCCAGGAGAAAGAATGGCTGATCTGTGAGGGGGGATAGAGGGGCAGAGGCAGGAGAACATACCTCAGTAATGTGAGGTGGGCAGGACACCTGCTGCCAAGTACCTGGACACTCCTCTTGCCGGGCACAGACATCCCCGCACCAACCACAGCCCATGAAGTGCTCAGCTGTCAGGCATTTTCTACAGGTCACGAAGTGGTGGCAGCCAGGGCCCTTGATTGGCACCTTGAAGACCTGTGGGCAGAAGTAGGGGCATCGGTCATAGTCAAGGAAGAGAGAGACGTAGAGAGGGAGAGAGGGGGAGAAAAGGTGGGGGAGAGAGAGAGAGAGAGAGAGAGAGAGAGAGAGAGAGAGAGAGAAGAGAGAGAGAGAGAGAGAGAGGAGGGAAGAGGAGTGAGGAGGGGGAGAAGGAAAGGGAGGAAAGGGAAAGAGGGGGAGAGGGAGAGAGGGAGAGGGAGACAGAGAGAGGGAGAGGCAGAGATAGACAGAGGGAGAAACAGAGAGACAGAGAGAGAAATAGGGAGGCGGGGGAAAGAGGGGGTGAGGGAGAGAGGGAGAGAGAAAGAGATCGAGAGGGGGAGGGATGGAGAAAAAGGAAAAGAGAGGGAGGGAGAGGGAAAGAGAGAGGGAGAGGGAGACAGAGAGAGGGAGAGACAGAGAGACAGTAAGACAGTGAGAGAGACAGACAGAGACAGAGATTGCACCTGTCCCTTACTCTTTGCAGGTAGGCAGCTTTGGGCCAAGGCTGGGGACTCTAGCAAGGGAACCTGGAGAGGCTCTGGTTTATCACCTGTCATAGCATGGACACCTTACTTATACTTCTCCTGTGTCCTTACTATGCACTATTGTATATTATTGTTATCTATTGTAACCTGTCTTATTCTTCCACTAAACTGAGTTCTATCAAAGCATGGACCAGGTTTTACCTGTCTCCCTGCTTCCAGTCTCTCCTTTTCCTTGAGTCTTCCTCCACAGGGTCCCCAAATAATCTTTCCAAGGCATATCTCTCATCGTGTCACACCTTCCCTCAAAAACCTTCAGTGGCTCCCCCTTGTCTACTAAATAAAGTATAAGCTTCTGATCCTGGCATCCAAGACCTTCCTTATTTCATTTAACTCACCTTCATGCACCCCAAGCAAACTGAATTCCTGTAATAGACTCCTCTCTTGATCCACACCCCATACTCCCCCTTATATCCCCATTTCCTGAAGTTCTTCCTTTTATTCTAGGCCCATCTCAGTTGCTGCCTACCTTCACAAAGCCATCCTGACTCCCTGCCCCCTCCTCTGTCTTCCTCAGGTTGGCAGGATCACTGCCTCCTCAAATTTCTCAGAGTATTTTTCTTTTCCAGGGCCTGACTAGATCTGACTTTCTTATTCCCCTTTACATGTTAGATTGCAAGCTGATTAGATTGCAAGTTCCTTGAAAGCAGGACCTGCATCTTGTCTACCTTTACATTTCTCATGAAGCACAGGGCCCTTCCTGTAACTTGGAAGGTGCTTAATAAATGCTTCTGTATTGGGAAGGTGCTTAATAAATGCTTGGCTTAATAAATGCTTCCTGAATTGAGATTAGGCCTTTTTCCTTAGGGAAGGAATAGCCGGGACCAGAGGGGCACTCCCACTCCCCTTTGGTGATGCCCTCCTGCATGGAATGAGGGAGATCCATCCAGACTTTACTTTATTCCCAGAGCTGAAGAGCAGGTGGTCCCCAAGGCGGCTGACATCTCGATGCACAGGCTGGGAGGAGCCCAAGGAAAAGTTGGACACGTAGAGCAGGTAGTTGAGTGACCTGAACAATTTCACCTGGGGCCAAAAATTAACACAAACAATGAACAGTGCTAGAGCACTTTATGACTTACAAAGCACTTTACGATTATCACACCTAACATTTACATAGCCCTGAAAAGGTTCCCTGATACTTGGCACATAACATCTCATTTGATTCTTACTTACAACAACCCTGGGAAGTAGTCACTATTATTATCGCCATTTTACAGATGAGAAACATGAGACCCAGACAGGTTCAGTGACTTGCCCAAGGTCAGGGTAAGTCACACACACACACACACACACACACACACACACACACACACACACACACAGAGAATAAGGTGATTTCTACCCAGCTCTCTTGTCTCCCAGCCCAGAGCTCTTTCCTCCATACATTGCTTCCTCTTTGCCAGAAGAGAGATAGTGGCCTTGCCTCCTATGTCTCATTCCCCAGCAGACACTGTGTTCAGTCATGCCCTCATCCTCACCTGTAGGATGCGCCCATCAGCAGTGCCCATGTGTGCCACAGTAGCATTGCCCTGATGGATAACGTGGATGGCTGTAAGGAGAACGCTGTCTAGGTGTCCATTGAGGAGGTCCACTCGGGGGTGGTTGGTGGGGATCATTGTGGGGTAGTTCCAGCAGCTCACATTGGAGCCCAGAGATGTTGTTTTAGGCTGCAGAGAGGATGGAGGGTTGCCACAGAGAGGGTCAGCAGAATCAAGAATAAAAATGAAAACTCATGTCTATAGCTCTTGGAGGTTTCTAAGTGGCTTCAGTGGTTCCCCATTATCTACCAAATAAAGTGTAAATTTCTGATCCTGGTCTTGGAGGCTCTCCACATTCTATCAAGCCTTATTTCATTTAAGTCACCTTATGTACCTCAAGCAAACTGAAGACACTCTCTGTGTTCCCTTCTTATCCTACCTTCCTTTACCTCCATGTTCAGCCAGCTTTATAAATATACTTGATTTCAGAGATGCTGAAATTAAGTCCCAGAGAGTTTAAGTTGTCTGAAGTTACACAGCTACTCAGTATTAGAATCCATATTCAAACCTAGGTCTTTCCTGAGACCAAAACTTATTCTAGGTTGTCCCCCAATATTCTCTTACTTTCCAACTCTTATTTCACCCTTCCCCCTCATCAAAGACCCATTAGCCCAACAAAGCAGATTAGGGTCCTGAAAGAAATGCTCACTTCAGAAGCCTCCTCTTCTTCCTCCTCCTCTTCCTCTCAAAATCCATTCTGCCCCCCTCAACACACACACACACACACACACACACACACACACACACACACACACATTTCCTGTTTCCAATATTGCCACAGACTTTGCTCAATCCAAGGCCTGACTGAGCAGCTGTGTCAGGGAATAGGGAAGGTTGAAATGTACTCCATGTGTGTACAGCTGGATCACGCCTCTGCTTGTGAAATGAAGCATCAAGTTCAGACTGCCGAACCCCTTCCTCTCCTCCACAGATCCCCTTATACAACGTCCTTAGACCGGGGCGCCTCAGGGCCTCAGGGACCCACACTCAATGGAAAGGGAGCAAATGTCCAAGGGGGCACGTTAGGAATACAGAGGATCACTGGATTTAGAGTGAAGAGATGGTAGAGATGATAGAATACAACGTCTTCCTTTTTACAAATGAAGACAGTGAGGAGCAGAAAGGAAAGTGACTGTCCCACAGTCATCCAGCTAGTTAAGGAGCAGAGTCAGGATTTAGACCCAGATCCTTTGTTTCCAAATCTGCCCTCTTGCCCAGGAACATATCCAACTAGTTCTTGCCTTGGAGAGCCCCGAGACCCTCTTGGGGGGAGGTGCAAAAAGGGATGGGGAGTGGGCTACCACTCCAGGAAGGAAGTCCCTACAAAATGTTCTCAGCGTGACTCAGAGACAGGTAAGGCTCTGGCTATGACAGGCCTGGCTTTCCAGACACCAAGGCAGCCAGCGACACTCAAGCCCTGCCTCACCCCAAGGGCTCCTTTCTCAGGAGTCCAGAGAACGATCATCAGTTCTTCCAGCCCCACCCTACCCCTTCGAGGTCCCAGCAAATATTACTATTAGCCCTCCCCCAAACACAGACAAAGCAACACAGAGCTGGGTCTGTACAAAACACCTCCCTAGCTGTTTTTATCACGTGGGATCCTTGCAAATGATGAAGGTAACAGAGAGGGCACCCCCATTTTATAGAAGAGGAAACTGAAACCCAGAGAGGACAAGGTTGGGGAATCAGAGGCAGAGCCCAGAACAGAACACGGACCTCCTGATAACCAGGCAAAGGCGCTTTCTGCCCCTGGAGAACATTTGGAGCTGGAAGAGAACCAAGAGATTATTTTGCCCAACCCCCTTCTTTTTATAGACGAAGAAATGAGTCCCCTTTAGATGACTTGCCCAAGGTACACAAACAGGAACTGTGGGAGGCAGGTCCTGAACAAACCGAGGCCTCAGACTCCAAATCCAGGCCTAAGTAAGCACAGGAATGACACAAGCCTGAACACACACTCCCAGTCACTCCCGCCCACTTCCCCTCCCCCACCAGCCAGTCTCAGGAGGTGGAGCAAGCAGATGAGCAAGGCTCCTGGAGCCAGGCACCATTGTCCCCAGACCTATAGACAGGAGGGAGATCAGACCCTCTGCCTGGGAAGACTGGGCCTGGCCGAAGGTTGCCCAGACTCCCTGGGCTGGCTTTCTTCCCTCCTCCTTCCCTGCGTGCCCTCTCTAAGGAATCTTGGGGAGAGGCTGGGATGGGAGGGAATGGGGTAGACAGGCCTGTGCAGCTGAGGAGGCAGCTGGGGTGGAGGCTACCCGCAGACACAGGTGTCTGCGTGCCACACCCCCACCCTCCCCTCCTCCCCCACTGCACCAGCACAAACTAGCTCAGCCAGGATGAAAACATATGGGTGGGCCCCACCTTAAGCACTGGCTGGGCCTATTCAGGATTACAATTAAATCGAACCTTTATAAAAAAAATAGACTCTATTTCCCATAACAGTCACAGCCCTTGGGGGGGGTGGGGAGGGGGGAGGGCAATGTGGTACAGTAGAAAGTACACAGGCTTTGAAGTCAGAGATCTTCCTGAGCCTCAGTTTCCTCATCTGTAAAAGGGGGCTGGACTAGATGGTCTCTGAGATCCCTTCTGGCTCCGGATTGTTCAATCCTAGGTCTGTGGTCTCTAATGGGTCTGCTCCAGACTGGGGCTACCAAAATCAGAACTAAAAAAGATTCTCCGCCTCAGCTCCTAATCTATTTTGCCTGTGTCCTGGCCACAAAGTCAACCACGGTCAAATCTATAAGTTGGCCACATCCTAGTCTAACCACTAAGTAATTGGGAGTCAGGAGATGATGGTTCTTCCATTTACTGTGTGACCCTGGGCAAATCAGGAAAGCCTCTGTTTCTCCAACTGTAAAATAAGGGGCTTGGACTAGACACCTTCTAAGGTCCTTCCATGCTTGATCTAAATCTCTGATCCCAGGAATGGGGGTATCTGCCCCAAAGCCAGGGGAGCACTGGGAACAGCAATGGTTAAATCCAAAAATGGAGACTGGAACACTTCGGGGACTGGTCTGTAAAAGGTGGTGTGGGGCCAAGGAAGAAGCTTCTCCCACAATGGAGCTGGATATGCCCGGTCCCTTACTGCCTGGGGGTCTGTTTCTTCACTAGGAATGATCTGTGTCATTAGTAAAAAAGAAAGGACATTCCCTCTAGCATCATGGCCCGCCAGTGCTGCTTGGAAGCAGGGATGGGCTGAGTGACTCACTCTCCAGCTACTGAATTGAGGGGGCGGAAGGAAAAGGAAGGGCTGGGCTGACCTTGCCTCCCCCCCAAAAGAGACAGGTAACATTCCTACTTCACTTAATCTTGCTGAGCCTCAGTTTCCCCACTGGTAAACTCAGCATTGGAATTTCAAAACAACAAAGTTTGATGGAAAGAATTTTGAAAGAAATAAGGATTAGGAGGCCTTGGTTCTAATTCTGACTCAACCAGTAACTTCTTGAGTGGCCTTGCTGAAATTACTTAACTTCTCTGAATCTCAGTCACTTCACATGTATAGTTGGGATGAGACTAAACATACAGAGGCAGCATGATTCAGGGCAAAGAACTCTGGGAAGTCAGAACACCTGGCCTCAAGTCTTGGTTCCATCACTTAACTATTTGACTTTGACCAAATAACATCTCTCTTCGTCTCCTTTCTCTCCTTTTGTAAAATGTTAGGTTTAAAAGAAAAAATCTGTGGTGGGGCTTTCTTTTATGAACAAAACAGAAAAGCATCCCCTCATCCCATTTGAAGATCTGTAGCTTATTTCAAATAGGGCCCATCAAAGTCCTCTTGTGTTTATTATCCTTTGTTATTAAAATAAAATTTTAATTGCTGTCTTTTGTTTTGACATCTGAGAAAATGGGGATATGAATCTCAGCACTGCCTTCCTTCCAGGGTTGTCTTGAGAATCCAATAAGCCAATGTCCGTGAAGAAAATTCTTTGGAAAGTACAAAGTTTGGAACTGATGGGAAGGTCATGTGGACAATGGAACACTGAGAACTTTAGGTGCTAGTTCCACAAGTGGTCAGTGGCAGAGTTGAAGCCAGAACCCCAGGGAGGTTTGTTGTTATTTTATTGATTTTAAATTCTCTAGAGTTTAGCCCAGAAAGTTTTCACCAGGAATCTATGAAGAGATTTCAGGGGATCTGTGAACTTGATTGTAAAAAAAAAAATGTATCTTTATTTTCACTAACTTCTAAGTGAAATGTGGCATTTCCTCCAATGATTAAAAAACCTGATTCTGAGAACTCCATAGGCTTCAGCAGACTGCCAAACAGACCTGTGATGCCAAAAACCTCACATCTAGTGAGACCCAGAAGTTAACATCTAAACTCAGAGACGGATGGCAGTTGGTTTCTTCTGGCCCCTAAGCAGGTAAATCACTTAACCTGGACACAAGGGGCAGCTTTCCCAGCTATCCAACCAGAGAGAAGCCTGGAAAGCTAAGATTTGCTTTCTCATAACGTAGGCCAGCTCCTCTCAGACTACAGGTATGGAAGGTGGGGAGGGGAAGTTTCCAAGGGGGAGGCCAGAGCATAGTGTTTGAATTTGAGGGCTGCACTCTGTCAGTGTTTAGGAGTTTGGCCCCTCATGAAAGAGAAGAAAGGCAGATTTGAAGTTAGAAGACCTGATTTCAAATTCTGCCCCATTACTACCTGAGTGACTTGATTTATACTTGAAAGGACCCTCAGACCTAGTACAATACCTCACCAAGAGGAGGATGAGGAACGATGAGGTATCTGGGGGTCCCCCAGGAAAGGGCAAAAGAGGTCTGGGCCCTTGGGGCAGCTAGGTGGGGCAATGGATAGAGCACCAGTCCTGAAGTCAGGAGGACCTGAGTTCAAATCCACCCACAGACCAAACATTTGACACTTATTAGCTGTGTGACCCCGGGCAAGTCACTTAACCCCAATTGCCTTAAAAAAAAAAAAGAGCCCTGGGCCCAACCAATACTAGAGTGGCATGGAGCTTGACAGCATGTGCCAAGAAGGGAGGTGCTGGTGCTCCTTCACACACAAGCACACACTCCACCCACCCCACCTGCCTGGCCATGTCCCAGCAGAGCTCTGCAGCCATTGCTCCCAACCCCAGGATGTTTACAAACTCCTGCACCCTGGCCTCAGCACATGTAGAGAGGACTCTGAAACCTCCCAAGTCAAACCTAGAAAGGACCCTGGAGTCCCCACCCCCAAACCTAGACCCTCTCACCCCTAATCCTTTGAGTCCACCCTTTGGGGAAGGGAGACATGGACCTAAGCCCTGGAACTTAAGCCATGAACCCACCTTCCTAGGAAAGGCTTAGACCGGGCTCCTAACCTATGTCAGCACCAAGCCTTGGCTAGTGTTTGTTTGGGGCAGGGGCTTTCTATCCTCAAAGCCAAGGCCCCTGGCCCCATCCTGGGGGCTGCTTATTGCACCAAAACCCCCAGTCACACAAAGCCCAGAGACCATCTCCCTGCTCCAGGGAAAGGGGCACTGATGTAGCAGGGGACAGAGTTCTGAGCAGCAGCATTTGGTACTGAAATGCTGCCAGATGGGGAGGCAGAGGACCTAGGTTCCAATCACACATCTGTGTGACCTTGAGTGAATCATTTTTACCTCATTTGGGTCTTAGCCTTTAACTCTTTTCTGTAAATTGAAGGGATTAAATTAGAGGAGAGGTTCTTAACCTTTTCTGTATCTTAGGCCACTTTGGCAATCTGCTGAAGCCTATGGACCCCTTCTCGGCATAATGTTGTTATTTTAGTTCACAATTGAAGGAAATACTAAATTTCAGTTCAGGGTTAGCACAAAAAAAAAGGGAATTTTTCCCCATCTAAGATCACAGTCCCTCTGAAATCTCTCCACAGATTCCCTTGTGGGGTTCATGTGTCCCAGTTAAGAACCCTTGGACTAAATGATCTCTAAGATCTCTTTCAACAATAAAATCAATGATTCTAGAGGTTAGGCTTGGGAGGTGTGTCTTCCAAAAAGGACTTAGACCAGGCTCCCCAACAGGAAGAAAATAAATTGTCCAACTCTTGGGGAGATAGTAAGGGTCCTGCATGTGGGTGGGGAAATGAATCCCAGAAAAGGGTTACTTGCCCACCGTCCTGGTAGCTGGGTGGGTGGGGAGGGGAGAAGAGTCAGAGCTCAGGCTATGGTGTAATCAGCCTTTTGTGTAACCTTGGAAACTACCTAATAAATCAAGGGAATGGGGCCAAGGCAGAGGGTGTGGCTGGGGTGGGGCCAATCTAGAGGAAGTGTCCTAGAGCTGGGGCCTATTTTTCCCTCTTCCAAACAGATTAGCTAGGATTCCTGACCTTACCACCCCTCTACACTGCCCGGCCCCGGGCCCCGGCCCCCCTACCCCCAGAATCCGACAACCTCACTTTCCCATTTCTTTGCCATGGCTCTAGACCTGGAAGGGAAGACCTTTATATCATCTGATCCCCTGATTATAACCGTTTTTTGTACCACAGACCTCTTCTGTAATCTGGTGAAGCCTAATACGCTGGGACTTCTTGCCTTCCTCCATGATTGATGGAAATGTTAAATTTCGGTTAGAAGTTAGTAAAAATAAAGATGTATTTTTCCCCCATCCAAGTTCACAGCGCAGGTTAAAAACCCCTGATTCTAGTCCAACCACCCCACTTTTCAGATGAGGAAAACTGAAGCCCAGAAAGGCAAAGAGATTTGCTTGGTGTTGCACCAGGCAGGGCAGGGATCTGAATCTAGGTCCTCTGATGCCAAATCCTGGGGAAGGAGTAAAAGGGTAAGGAGTCTCTCCTCAAACTTTGCCCTGGCTCTAATTTTCTCAGCCGTGGAAAGAACCCAGACAGGATTCTGCCCCTTGAGCACCTCAAACCGGTGGAGTTTCCTCCTTTTGCCACCCCTCCCTTTTCCCTTCCCGACCTTCCTCCTGCCCTAGCTCTTCTCCCTTCCCCTTCTCACCGGATCTGGGCAGTAGCTTTGGGGCTGAAAGAACTCCATTCCTCGCTCCACACGCTTCTGGTTGGCCTGAGACCCACAGCATCTCTCCATGCCACTGTCAATGAACTCATTCAGTTTGGTTATGGGGAAGGCGCAAACAGCCGATTTGTGGTGGGGGACTCGGCTCCCTCCTGGCTCACCGCAAAGGCCCCAAACAGCACTTTCTGGCCCTCGGGGACACCTAGATCCGTTGCCAGTGAAGACCCCACGCGGGCCACATGGGCTGCTTGAAGCACATTATATGTTTCCTCCTCGGTGTTGGCCACCTGTCTTCTTCGGCGCCGCCTCTTGTAAGAAAAGCGGCAATCGAGGACCAGCTCTCGGTATTCCCCCAGATCCGTCTCAGTCGCACTAAGTCGCACTAATCGAGTGTGGAAAGTGGTAGAAACTTTCAAGGACTCTGGCTGAACTGTTAGGAAATAGACATAGCCGCCAGAGCTGAAGGTGTAGACGTATTCAATGGGATAGGTGGCCAGGTATTCGGGCAGCACAGACAGAGCAGGGGAACCCGGGGCAAAGCCTTGGAAATTTGATTTGAGTCTGCGGATGGACACAGATCGGGGACTATAGCGGGCGGCCACCGTCTGGTTCAGGGTGGAGGCCACGTAGAAGTAAGAAGACCGGCCTTGCTCAACCACAGTCACCTGGGTGCCTAGCGGGCTGGCTACGCAGTCGGGGCAATCGTGAGGACTGTTGTCTGAAGTGGACCAGAGGCAGGAGGTCTGGCCCAAGTGGACTGTCCCATCACGAAGCTCCAACTCATGAACAAAACATCGACCCAGCAGGGAGGAGCTACAGCTGTAGAGCCAGGGTAGATCAGGATCCAGGACGAGCACGGCGTTGTCTGTGTCTCCGCCGGGCAGTGAGGGCTCTGACCCCTCACATGCTGTGCAGGACTCGCAGCTGGGGTGGCCGGCGGGGCCTGTGACCAGTGTCTGGAGCAGCTCCAGCCTGGCATTCAGCATGTGCAGATGGTTCCTAGTGGCCACAAAGATGGCCCGCCCTTCGTCATAGGCTACCACTCTTTGGATGGGGGCAGCAGCCTCAAAACTGGGCACCACGTACTCGACGCTGAAGTTTCGGGAGGCAGCATACGGGATGCGTGGACACTGCCACAACTCCCCTAGGGAAGGTGGCCCCTGTGCCAGGAGGAGCAGCAGTAGGCGGAATGATAAGGACCCCATGGCCGGGGTGGGAGCTATCAGCTGGTCCAAGCAGCAGGCGTGGCAGGCAGCATCCTTCCTAAGCTAGGGAGATGAGGAAGGATCAGCAAAGATTTTCAGCCCCTCTAGAAAGGGCTCTCCAGGACGGAGCCACCCAGCTTTCCCCTTTCCCAAGACAGTCAGGCTGTGAACGATCAAGACTTGGATTATGGCAGATTCTTCCTTAGGAAAGGGCCCCACAGTGCAGGGTCTCCAGGGGAGAGGGGGGATGGGAGTGGAGTGATGGGGCTCAGCTCCCACTGGACAGGAGTGCCCCTAAGATTCTTCCCCAAAGTTGGTCTGGTCCTGAGTGCTGGAAGAATCGCCCTCCCTTTCCTCTGTTCTCCCTCCCCCCCCCCATTTTCCAAGTAATGGGCCCTTAGGAATCATACCTGTGATAGGGGCAGGGGCTGAGGCAGCCAGCCAGAAACGGGAGGGAGCTGCTTGAGTCTCAGTATCTCCCAGCCTGGCCCTCTTAGATCACTCACCTGTGGCCTCTTCAACTCAGGCAGAATAAGGCAAGATTGGCCTTGCAGGCCGGGTTGAGGGGCTGAGCCCAGCCTGGGAGGGCAGGAGGGGGGCGGAGCCCAGGAGGAGGGGCAGCGGCAGAGGCTGGGCTCCCCGGATTCCGCCCCACTTCCCCTGCAGGAGCCTGGAGGCTGGGGATAGGAAGGTCCAAGTCCTTCCCTTGAACTCCTCCAATCCCTGACAGACAATGGGGGAGGGGTGGGCATCTGCGACCGAGCTCCAGTCTCCAGAGCCTGCTGCCGGTGCTGAGAACTGTGTCCAGGGGCTTTCTTTCCACTGGGATGGAGAACCAGAGTCACACAGACCACTGAAGGCAGCCGGATAGAGCTGCCTTAGAGTACAGAGCCCTGAATCAGGACTCAAAAAAATGTGAATTCAAATCCTGTCTCCATTTGCTCACTATCTTATCCTGGACAACTCACTGGTGCCTTGGCTCCTTCATCTGTAAAATTGAAGCGGTTCAGACTAGGACTTTTCAGCTCCCTTCAAGCCCTAATTCTTAGACTCTCTAGGGGAGGAAGTCAGAGAATTATATCATTCCTCTCCTCCCCAAACTCCTCAAAGGAGTCAGAACCCAAGTCTGACTCCAGCAAGGAAGAAAGGAAGGGCACTGCTCTAAGAGCAGGCTTGGGAGAGCAGTGAAAATGAGAGGGGAGAGATATTGGGGCTACTGCCCCCCAAAAGGGCAATGAGTGCCCTGTGTATGTATCCCCTGGCTGCTGGGGTCTAGGGCCACATTTTAGAATCACACTTTAGAATGTCAGAAGTGAAGGGACCTTAGGGAGCAGAGGATCACAGATGGAAGGGAGCTTCAACGGTGTCTATTCCAAGCCCCTTCATTTTACATTGTGGTTATAAAATTTGTCCCGTTCTATTAAGTCAGACTTGACAAATATGTCGAAGGGTCCAGACCACAACACTCTAGAGTATATGTAGTTCTCAACTGATTTTAATGTATGTGTGTGTGTGTGTACGTGTGTGTGTGTGTGTGTGTGTGTGTGTGTGTACACACTGTGGTTTTCTAAGTCAACATGCAGCCCATAGGGATCCTTACATATCGTTTAGTGGTCCTGTTTTTATTTGAGTTTGACACTCTTGTATTAAGTGGAGAATCAGGATTCAATCTCCGATCTTTTAACTCTGCCTCTAGTGTCCTCCATTTCCACACACTGCCACACTGGTACTTGTCCTCCCCCCAAGAACGGCCCTGAGCATCCTCAAACAATTCTTCAAGGGCCCACATTTGTGAAAAATGGAGTCAGAGTGGAGAGAATGGGCCCCAGGTACAAGGATAGCACCCCGCCCCCGCCCCACCATGTGGAAGATGGGCCACTTGGCATGGAGGAGGAATCACATGTTTATGAAGAATGGACCGTACAAGGGCAGAGAATGAGTGAATCTTAGCAGTGAAGAATGGCTGGCATCGGGGTGCCTAGGATGTGTATGTGTATGGATGTAGATAGAGACAACTGAGATGGGGAGGGCAAGACAGAGGGCACCTGCAAGTTCCATTTCACTCATCCTGACCTGAAGACCTTAGAAACAGGTCTATAGAATCAAAATCCTGGCCCAGTGAGGTCAAGAGAAGCCTGACAGAAACAGAGAAAAACAGACGGGTAAAAGCAAAATGAGATCAGAAAAAAAAAAGAAAAGAAATGAAAAAGAAAGATTGGTGGACCAACAGAAGGTACACACCCCTCTGACCCCATGATGGGGAAAATGCCAGGGAAACCTCAGAAACCCTCTTATCACCTCTTGTCAACCTTCTTGAGATAGGGAGGGACAGCAGAGAAGGTCAAGCCTGAAACTGGGTAAGTGGTGGTAGAAGGTGGGAGGTAAGAGGTGGAAGGAGGGAGGAGGGAGGAGGAAGGAGGGAGGTGGGAAGTGGGAGGTGGAAGAGGGAGGTGGAAGAGGGAGGTGGAGGAGGGGCAAAGGACGCTGGGCTGGGAGTCTAGAGACCTGGGTTCTAATCCTGGACAGTCTTCTGCTGTCCAGACTATGATTCTCTCTGATTCTGTTCTCCAGTCTCTGTGTGTCTCTGCCTCTGTTCTCTCTCCATATCTCCTTGTCTCTTTCTATCTCTGTTTCTTTTTCTATCTTTGCATCTGTATCAGCAAGAGCAGTTGGCAGGCTCGGCCCAGGGGATACAGATTTTTCAATTTCCGCAGCTGAACGCCCCCCTCATTTGGCCGCCTTCCTGGTTGGGGTGGGGTGGGGGGAGAGTCAGCTCATATCATTTCCTCCCCCCCTCCTCATGGCTCACGTGTCCTCTACCACCACCAAAGCCAGCAGTCCTGAGGGTGCTGGGAAGCTGACACTGCGTGCCGTCATGTCACATGGGTTCCCTGAAGGAGAACTTGCTTCTTCTCAGGCACCCTCCTCACCCACATACACATGTGAACACATAGTTACATGTGCAAACAGAGATGGACACACAGGTATATAAATGTATCAACATGCATTACACATGCATGTTCATGTGTACACATGAGAACACATGTCTAATATCAGGAGCCAGCATTTTTGTGTGCTTTAAGATTTGCAAAATATTTTCTTAACTGTAATGTGAGGTAAATACAGATATTATCTACATTTTATAAATGGGGAAACTGAGGCTCTGGGATATTAAATGAGCTCCCAAGATCACTTAACTAATAACTGTCAAAATCAGGATTCAATCCTGCTTCTCTTTTGGCTTCGCACCTAGCACACTTGCCTCTACATTACAGTCTCTCATGAGCCGGCACACACACACATACACACACACATGCACACACACACAGACACAGACACACAGACACACACACACACACACCCCTTGGATCACACAAATTAATTATTCAGTCTAGGAACTTCCCCCAGCTCCACCTCTCCCATAAGCCATGTGGAGTCAGCTGGGTGTCTGGGGAGAGCCCCGAAGCAGGGCTCTAGGATCTCAGTCTCATCTCTGACTTCTTGCCTTAGTTTACCCATCTCTGAAATGTGAAGAACCTGTGTTCCTCAGGGCCTGTTGCAAAATCTTGGGAATGAAACGGCCTCAAAGACCCAGGACTTGAGGGGAGATAGATAAAAATTACTAGAAGGGCAGAATCTGGAACTCTCAGTCCCTTCCCCCCTAGAGGATGTCCAGCAGTATTGAGAACACTCTAGGAATAGCCTCCTTTCTAGCTTGCTCTGGGCTTCCCCTTCTGCCCTAAGTTATCTGTCTATCAAATAGTTTCAAGTTGGTACAAGGAGAAGGTAGGGAAGAGGGGAAAGGGGTGAAGGCTTTTTCTCAGGGTGGAGGGAATTGGTGAGGGTGAGACCTGGAGAACCCCCTTTATATGGAGTCAGAAAACCTAAATTTGAATCTGAATCCTGCCCTTGCTTATGTGGTATTGGCCAAGTTAGTGAGCATTTATAAAGCGCCTACTATGTGCCAGGCACTGTGGCAAGCAGTGAGGATACAAAGAAGTGTAGAAACAAACAAAAACAAACCCAAACCAGACCCTGCTCTCAAGGAACCTCTCTTGCTCCCAGTTTCTTTATGAAAAAAGAAAAGAGACGTTGATTTATCAGGGGTTGTTAACCTTTGTGTGACCAACCTCTTTGACAGTCTGGTGAAATCTATGGACCCCTTCTCAGAACGCAATACGTTACTTTATAAAACAAAATACATAGGATTACCAACGAAACGATATTGGAAATAGAGTTATCGGAATATTTTTTTAAAAAACAAATTCCTGGGGCAGCTAGGTGGTATAGTGTACACAACACTGGAGACGGGAGGACCTGAGTTCACATCTAGCCTCAGTCACTTAACATTTACTAGTTGTGTGACCCTGGACAAGTCACTTAACCCCAATTGGCTCACCAAAAAAAAAATTCCTGATCCCCAGGTTAAGAACCCTCGATCTGATACTTGACAAAACCCCTTCTAGATATGTTATGATTCCTACTGATTTTATCCTCCCGAGAATGACATTTTCTAGGGAGAATTCCTAGGGAGAAGACTGAAGGAAAAGCCAGTATCCTGTTCTGTTTGATTTGGGGGTGAGTGGGGGAGGAGGGAAGTCAGAATTGCTAATATCTTCCAGAAGGAGTCATGTTGCATAGTAGAAAGAGATCTGTTCCTGGAATCTACCCAGGATTAGCTGTGTGACATTGGACAAGCTGCTGTCCCTCTCTGAGATTCTTTTCCCCTTATCTGTAAATGGTAGGGGCATGGTGTTCAGATTGACGTAGAGAATCTCACCGGGGTCTATTTCAATTTTAACAAATTTGTCAGCTCTCCCTCCTCCCCTCCCACCCCCCACTCAGTACCACTTCAATTAGGAACTGGAGGACCTCTTGACAGGCTCGTTGTTTAAAGAGGGCCAGAGGCAGAGATAGCCCAGCTGGTCCCCTTCCCCAGAGCTCCTGAATCAGGGCCTCCTAATGCCCCTGAATGAATTGTCTCAGGCAGCACTGCTGATTCCCCCATGCACATGCATCCCTGCAACAGCCTGATCCCAACAGCCACCAGAGGACCAGCCCCCATTGCTCCTCACCTCCCCTTCTCCTAAAGAGTCCCCCCAAAACATGCCTTACAAGAGGGTGTGTGTGTGTGTGTGTGTGTGTGTGTGTGTGTGTGTGTGTGTCTGCAGGGTTAGGACTTGGATGTTCCAGCCATTTTCATTTTCATCATTCTGCCTGAGACTCAATTTTCCCTTCTGTAGAATAGGTGACATTTCTTGATGAATAGAATGGGGGGGGGGTAGAAATCTCTAAGGAAAATGATTTCAGATTCCAGGGACAGAACATAGCTCAGGCTGTGTGGGATGGGCTTGAGGGAATTAGTCCCATTCAGTCTTCCCCTTTAAATTACTCCTCCCTCCTAAATACCATAGAGTGCTGCCTTCCTCATGGCCTTGCTCCTCAGAATTACACATTCCATTTCCTCAGCACTGAGGCATTTAAATTCTCCCAGCTGCCTTTATATGTATTTATACAGAGTCCCAAAAGTCTTGGTGCAGTTTTAACCTATTATTAAAGCTGCTTTAA